GAAAGCTGAGCACCGAAGAACTGATGCTTTTGAACTGTGGTGTTGGAGAAGACTCTTGAGAGTCCCTTGGACTTCACGGAGGTCCAGTCAGTCCATCCTAAAGGATATCAGTCCTGGGTGTTCATTGAAAGGACTGATGTTGAAGCTGAAACTCCAATACATTGGCCACCTGATGCAAAGTGCTTACTCATTTGAAAAGACCCAGATGTTGGGAAAGCTTGACGGCAGGAGGAGAAAGGGAAGACAGAGGATGTGATGGTTGGATGGCATCACTCACTAAATGGACATGGGTTTGGGTAGATTCCAGCAGTTGGTGATGGGAAGGGAGGACTGGCATGCTGCTGTTCATGTGCTTGCAAAGAGTAGGACACAACTGAGCAACTGATTTATTTTTTATTGTGTTGGGTGTTTGTTGCTGTGCTTGCTATTCTCTGGTTTTAGGGTTTGTGGGCTACTTTCTATTTTCTGTGCTTGGACTTAGTTGTGGTGGCTTCTCTTATCGGGAAGCATGAGCTGTAGGCACTTGGGCTGCAGTAGTTGTGCAAGAGCCTAACTGTTTCATGGCATGTATGATCTTCCCAGATCAGGGATTGAACCCATGTCTCCTTCATTGGCAGACAGATTCTTAACCACTGTACCACCAAGTAAGTCATTCCCCTGCCTGATTCCTGACAACCTTCTGCTTAAAAAAAAAAAAAAAAAAAAAAAAAAAAAAGACTAAAAACCTGTTTAGTAAATTTTCAGGAGTCTGAGCTCTGAGGTCAGTGTCTGTGGTGTCATTCTCCAAAAGGCTTCAGATGCTGGTTGGCCTCATGAATCTAGCGACAAAGATGGGTCTGGTGGCTGAAGACAGGCTGGGTCTCTGGTGCTCTTCCCTCACCTACTCACTCAGGGCCCCTGAGCCGTGGCAGCCAAGCAGAGTGATGCACAGGTGGGGCTGATACAGCTGTGGGACTGCAGTGGTCAGAGTGGAGGGTGTGAGGGAGGCAGCTGGTTCTCCTGCCCCTGTGACTCCTGCTGTCCTGTGTGCCTGTGTAGGGCAGTCACAGCGTCAGGTGAGGCCTGGCAACAGTCGTGGGGACAAGATGGGACCTCGGACAGCTCACGTTCCCACTCCACCCACCTCCCTCCCAGCCCAACGCCACTTCAGGTCTTGGCTTGTGGCTGTTGCCAGCTCCCAGGGTTGGGAGGTTGTGTAAAACACCAGCCCCATTGCTCAAGGTCAGCTGAGACCCAAACCTCTGGGGTCACATACCATCCCTCCCACCATCCAGGTCATCCCACTTCGGGGCGTGGGGCTGTGGGTGATGGGGGATTTGGGGGTATTGTGGCCTGGCCCAAGAGTCAGCTTTTCAAGGGGAGGGATGGGGAATGGAGGGGTTGGGAGGCAGAAGCTTTAAAAAATGCTCAGGCTTCCAGGGGATTCCAGGCTCAGCTCTGGTGGCAGGTGCAGGTGAGAAACCCAGACAAGTTTCTGGATCCCCACCTTTTTTCAATTGAAGCCGTTCTGCCTGCATCATCGTAACTCTCCTTACCATGACCCCTTAGTAAAGCCACAGAAGATGCAGAGTTTACCTGGCTTCTCTTCCCATAAGGAAACCAAGCCACAGACCAACGTATTCCTTAAGAAAGCATGAAAGAAATGAGAAAATAATAGTGGCTGTTTATTACTAACACGGTTCACATAGAGACGTTTCACAAGCCTGGAACAGGGAGAGTACTGAGGGTCGTGGCACCCAGTCGTGGGGTTTGCACCTCCATCCCCACCCCCACCACGTGGCTCACTCTCCCCTTCTGGTGACTGGGTGACTTCAGCCTCCTGAACACATCCTGGAAGGATCAGGAAGGGAAGAGGTCATTCACAGCGTGATCAAGAATGCCACTGCCTCCACTCTGTGTCAGCGCTCAGTTCTGGGTCTAAGCTAGCATGGCTTCCTGGTGCGGTCACGACCTTCAATCACCTGGTGGGCACGGTTTGTGTCCCCCTTGTCCCCATGTGCATCCTGGTCACTCCTGGGACCCGTGCTGTGCGCATCTGCTCTGCTCACAGCCCACCCTATGGTCTATCAGACTTCAATCATGAAAGACAAGTCTAAGAAGAACCATTCCATAGTTAAGAATTTCAAGGTCGTGACAGCATTGATCAGAGAACATGGGCATAGGTACAAGGCCCATGCATTAGAAAAGCTAGTGTGTGGACTTCAAGGACCCTCCATGTGGGGGTTGGGATTGGGGCCTGACAGGGATTTCCTGCACACGGGGCTCCAGGCTCTGTTCTCATCAGTGTGGACAACTGTCAGCTCAAATGACAGTTGAGTGGCTCTAGGGCTACCCAGCTCAGCGGAAATTGCAGTTGTGGAAAGGGAGGTCACCCTCCCTTAGCATCCCTAACCTCATACCCCCTTATCAGGCAGCTGAGTGCCTAAACAGCCCCTTCCTTGGCTAGCTCTGAAGACATGGAAGGTGTGGTATCTGAAGAACATACAGAAAACAAAGTTCTGTAAAGCAATTATCCTTTAATTAAAAAATAAATTAAAAAAAAATAAAAACCCCACAAACAACAGCTTGCATTCTTGGCCAGCCTCTGCTAGATTCTGCCTATGCTTTTGCAAAAGAACAAAATGCTGACACTCTCGCCCTGTATCACAGATGAGACTAGAGACGCAGAAAAGTTGAGCATCTTGCCCTGGTTACACAGCTGCTGAGGGCAGGGCTGAGAACTGTACTCCTGTAGCTGAATCTGGAATACAGATGCTGTGATGACCCTGAGGGAGCGGCAAAGACACAGTGACAGAGACCAGATGCTCCAGACTGAGCCAGGCATATACACATGCTTGCGCGCGCACACACACGTGCGTGCACACACACACACATACACGTGGTCTTCAACTTTGTTGCTACAGAAGTCAGAGGACACAAGATGGCAACAAGGGGGTCCAAAGGAAAGTTAATGTCTATTAGGAGGAGAAGCCACAGTTCCCAAGAGACCAGGGTATTCTCTTCCCTGATGAGTCTGTCTCAAACCCTAGATGCTTCTCCCTGGACTGAGTAACTAACTGTCTAGTGACTTGATTTAGCTTCAGAATTATCCTTCCCAAGGATTGAGCTAACACTGGACCCCACTGCTGTCAGTAACAAGGGGGAAGTGAGTATGTAGCCTGGGCTCAGATTTATTTAGAGACAAAATTTATTTGGAGTACAAAAAACCATGAAGGCATTTGGCATGAACATCTCCAGAACACTTAAAAAACTTTCTGCTGTTTATTATACTCCACTCCTGTCACGAAAGTGGAAGGCCTATTTCATAAATTAATTCTGTGCTTATCACACTCTTTCTTTAAAATATTCATTTATATATTTATTTATTTGGCTGTGCAGTGTCTTAGTTGCAGCATGTGGGAGCTAGTTCCCCAATCTAGTATTGAACGTAGGACTCTGCATTGGAGGCTTAGACACTGGACTATCTGGAAAGATTCTCGTCATACTCTTGGGGAGTATAATGGGTCATACACCACCTCTGAGGCCCCCGTAGAGGACATATGTCTGTCTTACGCCTCCTGTGGCTAACATGTGATTTACTGGTCATCAGGCACTTACACTCCCTGCAACATGGGTCTTCTCCCCTGTGTGTGTGTTCTAGAGTCTGATGAGATTGGACCTCACACTGAAGCTTCACCCACATTCCTCACGAACAAGGCTTCTCTCCCGTGTGTCCTCTGGTCTTTAACGAGAACTGACTTCTAAATGAAGTTTCACCCAAACTTCATGCAAACATACGGTATCTCCACCCTGTGTAAACACTGGTGTCTGATGACACCTGTTACTGACTGAAACTTCGCCCACACTCTCCACAAACATAGGGCTTCACCCCTGTGTGTGTCCTCTGTTGTCTGATGAGATCGGACTTCTAACTGAAACTTTGCCCACTCTCCCCATAAACATGGGGCTTCTCCCCTGTGGGTGTCTTCTGGAGTCCGATGAGACTGGATCTCATGCTGAAGCTTCACCCACAACCCACACAAACAGTGCTTATCCCCTGTGTGTGCTCTGGTCTCTAATGAGAACTGACTGCTAAAAGAAGCTCACCCATACTCCCTGCAAACACAGGGTTTCACCCCAGTGTGTGTCCTCTGGTGTGTAATGACACCTGACTTCTCAATGAAACTTTGTCCACACTCTCCAAAACATAGGACATCTCCCCTGTGTGTGTCTTCTGTCGTCTGATGAGAATGGACCTCACACTGAAGCTTCACCCACAAACAGGGCTTCTCCCCTGTGTGTCCTCTGGACTCTAATGAACTGACTTCTAATTGAAGCTTCACCCACACTCCTTGCAAACATAGGGTTTCTCCCCACTCGGTGTCCTCTGGTGTGTGAAGACACCTGACTTATGACTGAAACTTTGCCCACATTCTCCACAAACATAGGGCTTCTCCCCTGTGTTTCTCCTCTGGCTTGTGATGACAACTGACTTTTGACTGAAACTTGGCCCACACTCCCCTCAAACATAGGTCTTCTCCCCCGTGTCTTCTTTTGTCTGATGAGATGGGACTTCTCACTGAAGCATTGCCCACACTCCACACAAACATGGGGCTTCTCCCCTGTGTGTGTCTTCTGGAGTCTGATAACATGGGATCTTACACTGAACTTTCGCCCACACACCCCACTAACAGGGTTCTCCCCTGTGTTTCCTGTTCTCTCAGAACTGACTTCTGAAGATTCACCCACACACCCTGCAAACAGAGTTTCTCCCCAGTGTGTATCATCTGCTTTGTGGTGACACCTGACTTCTCACTGAAACTTTGCCCACAGCCCCGACAAAAGGCTTCTACCCTGTATTTCCTCTGGTCTCTAATGATAACTGACTTCTAACTGAAGCTTCACTCCTTCTTGCGAACACAGGGTTTCTCCCCGGTGTGTGTCCTCTGGTGTGAGACGACAACTGACTTCTCACTGAAACTTTGCCCACACGCTCCACATAGTGCTTTTCCCCTGTGTGTCTATCTTCTGTTGTCTGATGGGATGGGACTTCTCACTGAAACTCTGCCCAGTCTCCACAAACATAGGTCTTCTCCCCTGTGTCTCTCTTCTGGAGTCTGATGAGATTGGACCTCACACTGAAGTTTCACCCACAGCCCCCACAAACGGGGCTTCTCCCCTGTGTGTCCTCTGCTCTCTGCGAACTGACTTCTAACGGAAGCTTCACCCACACTCTCCTCAAAGATACGGTTTCTCCCCAGCGTGTGTCCTCTCGTGTGTGATGACACCTGACTTGACTGAAACTGTGCCCACAGTCTCCACAAACATAGGGCTACTCCCCTGTGTGTCTTCTGTTGTCTGATGCGATGGGACTTCTGACTGCAGCTTTGTCCACACTCCATGCAAACATAGGGCTTCTCCCATGTGTGTGTCCTCTGGTGTGTGATGAGACTTGACCTATCCTTGGAGCCTTGCCCACACTCTCCATACTTGACTCTTATAATCCCTGAGACTCCTGCCCCCATGAATAACTTGCCTGTTTCTTCTGCAGTCACTTTCTGGCTCGTGCTGGGCTCTTATATCATTCTCTCATGCACCTCAGAACCCCCCATTTGTCTTTTGGGTGAGTAGGAAGAGGCCATTGAAATCCTCTTCAGCCTTATGCAAAATGTGAGGCCTTTCAGCAAAGGATGGGGCCTTTTCTTGCCCTCTCGATGCTTCAGTTTGTCACTCAGGCTATGTGGATCAGAATATCGCAGCTGCTGATTTTGATTGCCTGGGCAGGGATCCTCTGGTCGGAGTTGGTCTCTTGCAGATGGTCTCAGGAGGATCTGAGAGGAATTTTTTACTGGAGAAGGCGAGAGAGCAGGATACACAGGGTACATCTTGGGCTTTGGTTCTGGTGAAAGAGGAAGCTTTTAGTCAGGTAGCTGGTTTGCCATGGTACTGCCTGCCCCACTGATCATCTTAGTGTTGACAGTGCACAATTTGTCTCCCATCAAGTGTGCCTTTCCAGTCCTCTTTTCCATTCTAGTCTTATTCTCTACAACTACAGAAATCCAGGAAGCCTGTGTTAAGGGCCTTTTCTACATATTACCCAGACTAGGGACCTTGCAGTAGCATCAGAGCCAGTGTCTCTCCTGACAGAGGTGGATCGGCAGGGACCTTTCCCTGTGTGTATCTAGAAAGTGATGTCACAGTGGCCACAAGTATTTTGCCCTACTGAGAGATAAGACTCTTGGTGACTTAGGTGGAATCTCCCTGAATGGCTCCCTCTGAGGGGAAAGAGTCTCTTAAGTTAGGAGTGCCTGGCCTGGAGCTCACTGCATATGGGAGGCAGCACAGGGGGTGATTAGAGCAGGTGTGAGTAAAACTGAATTTGAAACTCCTTATTCAAAGAGTAGTCTTTGTGCTGATCTCTGCAGGAAGTGGGTTTCAGACTGGATGAGATCAAAAGGCCCAGGTCCCACTGACTACAGGTCTCTGGCTCCTGCTACCCCAACTGTTTCATAATTTGCTCCTCTCTCTGTTTTCCGTAAATCATAAAATAAAGATGTGTCCTTTCTCAAGCCTCACCAGTACTCACACCTCATTTATTTCACTCAGTTTTAGTCCATTTAACATGCACTAAGAAGCCCTGGTTAAAAATACATCTCCAATCAGACTCCTCACACCCTCACTCCCATGCATCTTCAGTCAGCCCACTCTTCCCTCATATCTGGCAAGGAACTGACCTCTGAGGGTACTCCCTGTTGCTGTCTCTTCCCCAAAATGAGCTGCAGCATTGTCTTAGCACAGATACCATGCCACTTGCAGCTGAAAGCTGCACGGTTGCTCTGTGTCTCCAGGAATACCCCTGGGGGCCTGCATCATGGACATGGATGCCAAGGCTTTGGTGTTACATCCAGCCTCCTCCTTCTCTCTCAGTGCTTGCTCCTGCAATCACTCGCATGACTTCTCTTCCCAGCCCTGGGGCTACAGCACTGGTTGCTCCCCTGCCAGGAATCCTTACCCAGAAGTGTCATCTCTGCAGAGACCCTGCCCCTCCATCCTCCACCACACCCCACCCTCTGCTCATACTGACCCAAGGCACTTTTCCTGCACTGGTTTTCCTCAGAGCACCACCCCTGCCTGGTATGAAGCCAATGCTGCCCCAAGGCAGTGGTTCTATCTGTTTCAGTGCGTGGAGCCCTGTCTGGCACAGAGTATGAACTCACTTGACAACAAACTGAAACAGTAACTGAATGCAAATCACTGTATGCATGTCACTCAGATATGTGTAGGAAATGAGGAAGAAACAGGTAAAAGTAAGAGGGCTGGTATGTGCTAGAAAACTTGCTTTTCACTTATATGCCTTTCAGCAGAAAGTGTATTACATATTTTTTGCATGAACTATTGAACATCAGAACTAATATTTTTAATATAAACATTTTCCTAACATTCATATGAAATAAAGCAAATTCTGAGGCATTTTAGTTGCAACCTGACTCTAGACTGGATTGTATCCTGCTTCAGAATTGGACCAAGGAGGCTCCCCAGGATGTGGTGGGGGCACCGGAAGAGGGGTGGCACTCACCTTTCCCAGCCACGAGCTTGCTCTTTTCCCTGCTGTCCTGCTTGATGCCAAGTTCCTTGCCACACTCGTCTGCATATCAGACCTGAAGTTCACAGCCCGGCCTGACCACCTGGCAGATTTGGTAGAAGATCTGCCATACTGCAAGGCCATCATGTTCTGCTCCTCGTCGTCCCAGGCACAGTTCACATACCTGGGGTATAGGCCACGAAAGGGAAAGAAACCACAGGTGACGAGTCTCCTCCACTGTCAGACCATGCCCAGCTCCTTGCCTTCAGACTCTGAGGCCACCATGGCTCCCACCACCCCTCACAGGGACCTTCTGTTCACACTTTTGACCAGGCCATGTGAATTCCTATTTCCAGATCCTGTTTCTGGTCCTCTTCCTGGTTGGAATGCTCTTCTCTCCTTACCTAATTAGCCATTGTCCAGGGCCCAGTTCCAGACCTGTCTCCACCTGGACTGTCCATTAAGACTGGTGATCTCCAGCTCCTCTAAACTCTAAACTAAGTTCTCTATCATTCCACAGGACTTTGTGCTCCTAAGCTAGCATGCGCCACTCAGCACTCAGCCCAGCCTTCCTTCTTTCCCAAGGCTTTTTTTCTCCAATCTCCCCACATGTATACAGGGTCCTATTCACTTGCCCACCCCCTCCCATGGAAACTTGGAGAGTGCTCTGACGTAGTTTGAGACACACAACAGTAAGAGTTTGTTCACTTTCTGCCTGCCCCGATCAAAGGAGAGGCCCTCAGAAAATGGCCATGCTCATGGCCATTTTGCCCTCCCCTATTCCTTCCCAGGCCTCAGGGCCCACTTCTCACTGGAACAGAGCCTGGAGAGGTTGTTGCCCACATGGGACTCAACATCTCCCATGTCACATTACCCTGGTGATGTGGAGTTATTAAAAAATATAAAAATTAAAGTTACTATCCTTAAAACCAATTGGTTAAAGTCTGTCTGCAGTATGTTCTCCAAAAGGACATGGGTTGTGTGATCTGCTTCAGTAATGAAGTTCACTGTCTAAACTGGGACATAGAGTGCTTGGTAAGTGTCAATTAAGGGAGTTGAAGTATCCCTGGTGAATCTAAACTCCTCAAGTTGTCTTCAAGTACCTCGGTGTTGTTGAGAATATAGATGTATTTTGAGAGCACAAGCTGTATTTTTCTTTCCAGTGTCTTTTGAAATTATAAAGAGCATGATATGGAGGAAAAAGAGGAAAGAAGATGTGAAAGCTAGTGAGGGAGATGGGTTGAGAAGGAAAGGGGTGTGGGCTTGAGGGAGGAATGTCATCTACAACTGCAGACTGACTGCACTCACCTCATCAAGTTGACCAAAGTTTCCACCCACATACTCATAGCCATTTCTCCCTTTGGTAAGCTGAGTGTCAGAAGAGAGATACAAGCTTTCTTCTCTCTTTGAATTTTTTTTGGCAGCAAATAATAGAAGAGCTATTTCCCTCTGCTGTCACTGATGCGTTTCAGCCTGCATGGATTCAACTGTCAGGCGAACCATATGGTAAGCTCTTTAATCATCATTTCAAGTCTGAGTCTACTGGTAGATTGAAGGCAAGGGCTCCACAAGTGAGGAGTCACTTCTGTATTCCTGTACAACTGTCTCCCAGCTCTCCTCTGATCTTTACATAGAAGCCCTCTGTGCCTATACACTGATAGACATCCTATGTGCCTGTACCACTGTCTCCCACCTTCCTCTGATCTTTAGATAGAAGTCCTGTGTTCATGATTAGTGCACACAGTACACAGGGCTGACTGTGTCATTGATGACCGTGTCATCATTTGCACCCTTGCATGTAGATATGAAGTATCCCCACTACCACACACAAGAGATTAGAGGTCAGAGGACAGGGAAACAGCGTTATTTCTCACCAGCCAGGAGCATCCACTGTTGGCGGCCTCTTCATCGTCTGTGATCTGGCCCTCTTAGGGGTCAAAGTGCAGGCCCAAAGACAGATCAGATGCTCTGCTCCATGCTCCAAGCCCAGCCGCAGGGATGTCTGATGGTCTGATACTTAACCCAGGGGGCAGAGTGAGGGCTGAGCATTTGGCATGCACTTCCTCCACTGCAGAGTCCTTTAAAAAGGTTGGGGGCCTGTGGGCACCACAGCTGTCAATGAAGAAGTTCTGACACTCCTCACAATCTGGAGGTGAGAGCAGCAGGGATGAGGGGAGGTATAGTTATGCTACTGGTTGTAAAGACCTTCAAGAAGAACTGAGGCACTCATAGCATTTGGCCTCGATCCTGTACCCCAAGTCATAGAGGAAGGGTACGATTGGGGTACAAATGGTGAGGTGACGCTACTGTACCAAGGCCTTATAACCCCTTCGCTGTGAGTGGGCCAGAGGGGTCGTCCTCCTGGGGCCCTCTGACCTCTTAGTACACATGACCCTTTCTTTCTCATGGACTATACCTCTTCACTTCAGCCTCCTTTCTTCTGAGTTCCAAGATGGAGAACAGAAGTAAAGCAAGGCTGGTGGGGCCTGGAGAGTTAGCCACTGTTTTATCAGAAAGTGTGAGATCTCCTACTTGTCCATCTACACACTCTGCCAAAACTTTTTTTTATATTTATTTTTCAAACTTTTACTTTTGTATTTTTAAGTTTCAGTGTTACATTATTTATTTATTGGCCACTGCATGGCTTGTGGGATTTTAGCTCCCCAACCAAGAATGGAACCCACACCTCCTGCAGTGGAAGCATGGAGTCTTAACCACTTAACCATCATGAAGCCCATTCTCCCTTTTAACTATGGTTCAGGAGACTGAGGTGCCACACTGAACACAGATGCCCAGTTCAGTGTTAGCTTCCTGTGCTTCCCATTTGTAGGTTTAACTTCCCAACCTTCTTCCACAGGAAATAGTTCACTGACACATTTACTTAAAAAATACATGTGAAGGGCATATGACACATAAGGCAATGAGCAGAGATCTGCGCATAAACACTAACAAAGCAGGGTCCCTATTATCACAGCTAGATTTATTGGACTACTTGCACTGTCAGCAGTTTTGCATTTAATGGAATGCTTTCAAATACTGTATGAGTTATGTATTCCCACCTTCACTTCACAGATGTGCAACCAGGACCTCAGAAAATGTATAAGAGTTTCCAAAGGCCCCACTGTTACTTCATGTCTCAGATCAGTCCACCTTAAACCAACACCTACCCAGAGTCCACACCACACACCCAGGCCATACTTATTAGCTTTTCCACAGGGGTAAGAGGAACTAACTAGAGAACTCCCCAGATTATCTCTTGCCAAATGTTGTCTGGGGTGCTGTCCAGGGGACCTTGATTCTCTGGGAGGGGGCACTGGTTTCTAAGCCTGCTTGGAGCCATTTGTATCCAGCAGTTTTGCTGCTCATGGCAATTTCTTCAAACTACATACCTCAATCAATGGTCACTTGGACATTCCCTTCCACATGGGTAAAAGACAACAAGCATTTCTTCAGTTCTTTAGGATATTATGAAGTGTTTCACATGCGTAACTTGCAGTACAGTTCAGTCGCTTAGTCGTGTCCATCTCTTTGTAACCGCATGAATTCCAGCTCGCCAGGCCTCCCTGGTGTCCATCACCATCTCCTGGAGTTTGCTCAAACTCCTGTCCATCGAGTTGGTAATGCCATCCAGCCATCTCATCCTCGGTCGTACCTTCTTCCTCCTTCCCACAATCCCCCCCTGCATCAGGGTCTTTTCCAATAAGTACTCTTCGCATGAGGTGGCCAAAGTCCTGGAGTTTCAGCTTCAGCATCAGTCCTTCCAATGAACACGCAGGACTGATCTCCTTTAGGATGGACTGACTGGATCTCCTTGCAGTCCAAGGGACTCTCAAGGGTCTTCTCCAACACCACAGTTCAAAAGCATCAATTTTTCAGCACTCAGCTATCTTCACAACCAACTCTCACATCAATACATGACTCCTGGAAAAGCCACGACCGTGGCTAGACAGACTTTTGTTGGCAAAGTAATGTTTCTGCTTTTAAATATGATATCTAGGTTGGTCATAACCTTCCTTCTAAGGAGTAAGCATCTTTTAATTTCATAGCTGCAATTACCACCTGCAGTGATTTTGGAGCCGTCCCCAAAATAAAATCTAACACTGTTTCCCATAAATTTACCATGAAGTGAGGAGTGATGGGACCAGATGCCATGATCTTAAGTTTTCTGAATGTTGAGCTTTAAGCCAACTTGTTCACTCTTCTCTTTCACTTTCACCAAGAGGCTCTTAGTTCCTCTCTTTCTGCCGTAAGGGTGGTGTCATCAGCATATCTGACGTTACTGATATTTCTCCCAACAATCTTGATTCCAGCTTGTGCTTCTTCCAGTCCAGCGTTTCTCATGATGTACTCTGCATGTAAGTTAAATAAGCAGGGTGACAACATACAGCCTTGACGTATTCCTTTTCCTATTTAGAACCAGTCTGTTTTTTCATGTCCAGTTCTCACTGGTGCTTCCTGGCATGCGTGTAAGTTTCCCAAGAGGCATGTTAGGTGGTCTGGTATTCCCATCTCTTTCAGAATTTTCCACAGTTTACTGTGATCCACATAGTAGAAGGCTTTGGCATAGTCACTAAAGCATAAATCGTTTTTTTTTCCTACAATTCTCTTGCTGTTTCCACGATCCAGCAGATGTTGCCAATTTGATCTCTGGTTCCTCTGTCTTTTTGAAAACCTGCTTGAACATCTGGCCAATTTGATCTCTGGTTCCTCTGTCTTTTTGAAAACCTGCTTGAACATCTGGAAGTTCATGGTTCATGTATTGCTGAAGCCTGGCTTGGAGAATTTTGAGCATTACTTTACTAGTGTGTGAGATGAGTGCAATTGTGCGATAGTTTGAGCATTCTTTGGCATTGCCTTTCTTTTTTTTTTTTTTTCCATTTATTTTTATTAGTTGGAGGCTAATTACTTTATAATACTGTAGTGGTTTTCGTCATACACTGACATGAATCAGCCATGGATTTACATGTATTCCTCATCCCGATCCCCCCTCCCACCTCCCTCTCCACCAGATCCCTCTGGGTCTTCCCAGTGCACCAGGCCCGAGCACTTGTCCCATGCATCCCATCTGGGCTGGTGATCTGTTTCACCCTAGATAATATACATGTTTCGATGCTGTTCTCTTGAAACATCCCAGCCTCGCCTTCTCCCACAGAGTCCACAAGTCTGTTCTGTACATCTGTATCTCTTTTTCTGTTTTGCATACAGGGTTATCGTTACCATATTTCTAAATTCCATATATACGTGTTAGTGTACTGTATTGGTCTTTATCTTTCTGGCTTACTTCACTCTGTATAATGGGCTCCAGTTTCATCCATCTTATTAGAACCGATTCAAATGAATTCTGTTTAATGGCTGAGTAATATTCCATGGTGTATATGTACCACAGCTTCCTTCTCCATTCGTCTCTGGATGGGCATCTAGGTTCCTTCCATGTCCTGGCTATTATAAAGAGTGCTGTGATGAACACTGGGGTGCACGTGTCTCTTTCTGGTTTCCTTGGTGTGTATGCCCAGAAGTGAGATTGCTGGGTCATATGGCAGTCTGTATGGAAACATAAAAAACCTCGAATAACCAAAGTAATCTTGAGAAAGAATGGAACTGGAACAATCAACCTGCTTGACTTCAGGCTCTACTACAAAGCCACAGTCATCAAGACAGCATGGTACTGGCACAAAGACAGAAATATAGATCAATGGAACAGAATAGAAAGCCCAGAGAGAAATCCACGAACCTATGGACACCTTATCTTCAACAAAGGAGGCAAGGATACACAATGGAAAAAAGACAACCTCTTTAACAAGTGGTGCTGGGAAAACTAGTCAACCACCTGTAACAGAATGAAACTAGAACACTTTCTTAAACCACTCAAAATGGGTTAAAGACCTAAATGTCAGACCAGAAACTATAATACTCCTAGAGGAGAACACAGGCAGAACACTCTCCGAAACAAATCACAGCAGGATCCTCTATGACCCACCTCCCAGAATATCGGAAATAAAAGCAAAAATAAACAAATGGGACCTAACGAAACTTAAAACCTTTTGCACAACAAAGGAAACTATAAGCAAGGTGAAAAGACAGCCCTTAGATTGGGAGAAAATAATAGCAAACGAAGCAACAGACAAAGAATTCATCTCAAAAATATACAAGCAACTCCTGCGGCTCGATTCCAGAAAAATAAATCACCCAATCAAAAAATGGGCCAAAGAACTAAACAGAGATTTCTCCAAAGAAGACATACAGATGGCTAACAAACACATGAAATGATGCTCAACATCACTCATTATCAGAGAAATACAAATCAAAACCACAACGAGGTACCATTACACACCAGTCAGGATGGCTGTTATCCAAAAGTCTACAAACAATAAATGCTGGAGAGGGTGTGGAAAAAAGGGAACCCTCTTACACTGTTGGTGAGAATGCAAACTAGTACAGCTGCTATGGAGAACAGTGTGGAGATTTCTTAAAAAACTGGAAATAGAAATATATATTATTTTGTTTGATTTAATTAACGTGTTTTAATTCCAGGTTACTTACAATTTTGTCATTTTTGTTTTTTGGGTGGTGGTGGTGTTGTTTTGCCATACATTGATATGAATCACCCCTGGGTGTGTACGTGTGTCCCACACCCCCTGAACCCAATAGCACCTCCTTCCTCACCCCATTCCTCTGCACTTTCCCAGTAAACCAGCTCTGAATGCCCTGCTTCATGTAATAAATTCGCATTGGTCATCTATTCAACATATGGTAATAAACATTTTAAAAGGCAGTTCCCTCATATTGTCCCACCTTCAGTTTCTCCCTCATAGTCCAAAAGACTATTTTACATCTGTGTCTCTTTTGTTCTCTTGCATAAAGACTCATCCTTACCACATTCCAAATTCCATATATACGTGCTAAAATACTATATGGGCACTTCTGTTTCTGGTTTACTTCAATCTGTATAATAGGCTCCAATTTCATCCACCTCATTAGAACTGACTCAAATATGTTCTTTTCCATAGCTGAGTAACAATTCATTGTGTATATTTACTACAACTTTCTCATCCATTTGCAAACTGATGGACACCTAGAGTGCTTCCACTTCCAAAATATTGTAAACATTTTTCCACTGAACATTGGAGTACATATCTCTCTTTCAATTCTGTTTTCCCTGGTGTGTATGCCCAGATGTGGGATTGCTGGGTAATATGGTAGCCCTATTACAAGTGTTTTAAGGAATCTCCACACTGTTCTCCATAGTGGCCAAAGTACCTTGCAGTCCCACCAACAGTATAAGAGGATCCCTTTTTCTGCACACCTTCTCCAGCATTTATTACTTATAGATTTTTTGATGGCAGCCACCGTGACCAGTGTTAAATGGCACCACATTGTGGCTTTGATTTGTATTTCTCTGTTCATGAGTGATGCTGAGCATCTTCTCATGCGCTTGTCAGTCATCTATATTTCTTCTTTGGGGATGTGTCTGTTTAGTTTGGCCTTTTTTTTTTTTTCCATTTACTTTTATTAGTTGGAAGCTAATTACTTCACAATATTGCAGTGGTTTTTGTCATACATTTTTTTAAAACCTTGGTCATTTATTTTTCTAGTGTTGACCTGCATGAACTGCTTGCTCATTTTGGAGATTATTTGTCCGTTGCTCTACTTGTTATTGTTTTCTTTTATTCACAAGGGTGTCTCGTCACCTTCCTTATAGTTTCTCTGGTGAGTGAAAGCTTTTTACGTTTAACAGGACAAGATAGTGGAGTAATAGGTGAACATGGAATATATCTCTCTCCATGGATACGTCAGGAATAGACCTTCAGACACAGACGTGCATGAAGAACACCAGCTCAGAAGGGACAGGAGGAGCTGACCAGAGGACAGAAAAATACAGAATCATGTGAATCTATAAGGATGAAGGATCTAGGGGGAAAACCAGGAGTGTTACTAGGACATGACCTGCTCAAGGTGGATGGGGGAACTGAAGCAAGGGTCCAATCCACACATCAGGGTAATTGTCTGAATCAGAGAGGAAACATTTAAGACTGCCACTGAAACAGCTGTACTCTGGCAGCCTAAATAGAATGAGAATTAGACAGCCACAGCCACACACCCTGGACAACAAAATGGGTCCCCTGGACCCTTGCCTGGAACCTGGAGTTTGGGGACTGTGAAGGAATCACAGGAAGAGGGCCTATATTGACTGTGGAGAGACAAAGAGAGGGGATGTAAGGGAGGAGCCTGTGGTGGGAAATGCTTGTGTAGGAAAGCCTGGCAACCATGGAAGCAAGGCGAACACTGCTGAGTCACGTGTAGGTGGTGAAGACATCACTATAGATTCTCTCTCCACACACACCAGCACTGGCAACTGAACAAAGAGAGGATGGCACATCAAAAGCCTGACACACTAAACTACAGAGTAGGACCCCAGCCAGGGTGTCCCTTTATGTGTCTGATACACAGATCTACTGAATAGTATCCCAGGCAGGAGGCCCCTCTATGTCCCTAACCATATGGCGCAACAGAGAAGGAACCCAGGCAAGGGAGCCCTCTACTTGCCTGAGTGGGCAGAATCCCAGAAAAAGACTGGTCAAAGAGGCCGTCTGATCACCAGCTACAAGAGGCTCAAAGAAAGACTTGACAGGGCCACGATTCCTGCGGTGGAGGCAGTCCGTGTCCCTGCACACTCGGAACCAGCAGAGTGTCCTCAAGCTAATCAGCTGTGCCACCTTCATTCTCAATACTCATTAGGACAAAGCTGCCACGG